AAAACGAATCAAGATAGATATAGACAAATATATACATAATTGATCAGAATGAAAAAAGAAATGGATTAAGCGGTGGCTGTCTGTCCCTCCGTACGACCGTCTGTGCACACGCTAACTCCAGTAAAATTTGAGATAGGTTAACGAAACTTGGTATGTGTACTTCGTTTCAGCGTCGGATGGGCCAAATCGGACAATAACCACGCCTGCCGCCCATATAACGGTAGTATTCAGAAATACGAAAACTGCGATATTTTAATGACTAATAAAACTTATTCCCTCAAAATTGATATTTACAATGAGTTTAAGGCGGAAAATTAGAGTTTTATGCATTTTTAGAAAATAGGCGCAGCCACGCCCACTTATGATCAGATGTGTATATCTCGGTAACCGCTACACCGATTTCTCCTAAATTTCGTACAGTTGTTGGTACAGGTAAAACATACCAATCGGACAATAACCACGCCCACATCCCATATAACGGTAATTTAGAGAAATAGGAAATATTCGATGAATCAGTAAATACTGAAGCTAATTTATTCAAAATTGATGTTTGCAATAACTCTTTAGCAAAAATACGTTTATAAAATTTTGGAAAATGGGCGTGGCACCGGCTACTTATGACCTCATACATACATACATACGTTCGCACGACAGTCGGGTCTATGTAACCGGAACGACCCAGATTTTTATATCTGGCCAAGGACTGTCACTTCAGCAACACTCCCCAAAAACTGTGGGAATCTGTATGCTGTTACAACAATAACAACAACAACCTCATACATATGTATGTGTATCTCGGTAACCGTTCGATCAATTTGTACCAAACTCGGTATGATCATTGTGCTTCCACATAAAAGCAAAACGTTGAAAATTATTGACATAGGACTAAAATTACGCCCAAATTACGGCGTAATACCGCCCACATATAACTATATAAATTGTCTCATTATGTCTAACTGAACGTTCTATCAAGGTTGTTTGAAATAGGGGTAAAACCACCCCTGCTTACTATGTAGCGCTAGTAGTAGTAGTGCGGGAGGTCGTTAGCAAAAACATTGCAAAAAAATCAACGGCATTTTTTACAAAAGCAGTCTCAAAAAAAAAAATTCTCAAAAATCAAAGCGCTTTTTTTAGCTGGTTGAAAATTGCACTTCACTAGAGTAAAATTGTATGGGCTATAAAACTGCATACCCAAAAATGTTCTAAAGATTCAGATTAAAAAGTTGAATTTTTTATGAAAATTTGTTGAATTTTTCTATATTTTCTATAAAGATAGAAACTGTGATTTATATGGTTTTGGTTAAAGCTTGGACGGTATTTTTATAAAAAAAATAACAAAAGAAAATTTTGCCCGGTATACATTACGAATATGTATTTAAAAAAATCAACCCGTGATCATTTATTTTAGTCATTGTATGTTAGTGTTTGTCCAAGACCGCGCTTTTTTCTAAAAATATTTAGAAATACTCTGCACTTTTATAGCCCAATAAACTCTAGCTTAATAAAGTGCAAGTTTCAATTAACTAAAAAGTACACAAAATTTTCGAACATACTTTTTATGGAAGAAAATGCGTTCCATCGTCAGCAAAAAAATTATCAATGTGAAGGATTACAGAAAGCATCTTTGTTGAGAAAAGTAATTAAAATCTAATTATTTGCAGAAAGAAAAAATATTGATTTCTTATTTATTTAGGTATTTAACATTATAAGTGCAAGTACAAAGCACCATGTGAATGGTTGAAATCGTTACAACGGTTTTCTCGTCATAAAATTTCTTTACTGATCTTTACAAATAAAAATTTATACATACATACAGTTACTCCCAAAATTGAGCGTACGGCTCTGTTTTTTTTTTGTGAAAATATTCGCAATGTTTTACAGCTAAATTTTTTTTATTAATTTTGATTTAAGATCAGCCTCATTGCGTAAGTCGTAAATTAGGCTAAATTGTACGTCTCGACAACAGCAGCATTGTCTATTGTCGTACTAAAATAAGTAAACGACCAAAATCGTCGAAAACTATACAGTGCTGCCAAGTTTTTCCGTTTTAATACACTAGTCGAGTGGAAATTTTAGGCAATGACATGAACTTTTCGAAACGATTCTCGACGATTTTCGACTCTCGCAATGAGGGTGATTATCTTATGTTTTAGCAAATCCCATTTAAATCCAAGAACGATACTGTTTACAAAAATTAAGAAAAATCTGCAAAGTTTTAGCAAAATCGCGAACTCTTTAATACGAATTTCTAAAAAAGATTCAGGTTTTTCTTTATTTTAATTTGATGTTTAATATTTTTCAAGCGCATACCTAAACAATTCAAAAAAGTTTGAAATTTTGGTGAAAAGTTGTTGAGTTTTAATCATTTTTGTACACAGTTTAAAATGTGGATTTACAAATAAAGACTGGAAAAATAGCCAAAGGCGATCAAAATGTAGCTGGCTTAATTAGTTGAAAGCATATGTAAGTGCAAAGTTTACATTCTTTCGGCTCATTACATAAAAAGTAATTTGTTAATAACGTGTTACTAACGTATTACGGTTTTTAACGTATTACCTTTTTATGTAATCGTGCAGGGGTCTATTACATATGTATATATATTGGATATGAATTACTTTTCCTTTACCGTAGTAGTAGTAATTAACTTGTGCAGTTTTAAAACAATCACTCACGACTCGCTGTCAACTGTATTAACTCGAAATTCCTACGTTGTCAGAAAACATAAGAAAAAACTGTTTCGGAGGTCATGTTAATCCCATGGAAAAGAGAGGGTTTATTGTGGGTTTTCGCAACAAATTACAACAAAATATAGATTCAGCATTTACTGGAAGGTAAATACATATATGATCAGGGAACAAGTTATGTGTTTGTTTTACATAATAATAATAATAGATCGGAGATTACACATATGTTAGTGTTTGGCCGAGCTTTTCCTCCGATTTGTGGCATGCGCCTTGATATTATTCCACTTACAGTTTTACGCTGACTCCTAACGGCGATTGTATATTTATGAGTAGCTGTTTTTCATGGCAGAAAAATACTGCCATTGCTAGCCGAGGGGCGACCGTTAATAGAAAAAAAAAATTTTATGTTGGGTTGACCCCGGCTTGAACCCAGGCCCTTCGGAATGGTAGCGTACACTTATAACCACTACACCACAGCGGCTGCGTACATATATACCTATGTATGTTAAATATCAAATATCTGACGTCCGTCACGCTAGCTGACCCACTTCTCCAAAAAATGATAAAAATTACTCAGGAATTAGGTGCAATTTAGGTGCAATTTAGGGCCTCCAAAATTAATTTAAGTGCTCACTCGGTTTCGTCATGCTAGCTGACCCACCCACTAATTTTCCTCGAACACTGGTAAATATTATTCAGGAATTAGGTGCAATTTAGGTGCAGTTTAGGGCCACCAAAATTAATTTCGGTGCACACTCGGTTTCCGAGAAATTCGCAAAAATGTGTTTTGGGTCAGCCAGCGTGACGTCTCGCTAGCTAACCCACCCACTAATTTTCGTCGAACACTGGTAAATATTAATCAGGAATTAGGTGCAATTTAGGTGCAGTTTAGGGCCACCAAAATTAATTTCGGTGCACACTCGGTTTCCGAGAAATTCGCAAAAATGTGTTTTGGGTCAGCCAGCGTGACGTCTCGCTAGCTGACCCACCCACTAATTTTCGTCGAACACTGGTAAATATTAATCAGGAATTAGGTGCAATTTAGGTGCAGTTTAGGGCCACCAAAATTAATTTCGGTGCACACTCGGTTTCCGAGAAATTCGCAAAAATGTGTTTTGGGTCAGCCAGCGTGACGTCTCGCTAGCTGACCCACCCACTAATTTTCGTCGAACACTGGTAAATATTAATCAGGAATTAGGTGCAATTTAGGTGCAGTTTAGGGCCACCAAAATTAATTTCGGTGCACACTCGGTTTCCGAGAAATTCGCAAAAATGTGTTTTGGGTCAGCCAGCGTGACGTCTCGCTAGCTGACCCACCCACTAATTTTCGTCGAACACTGGTAAATATTAATCAGGAATTAGGTGCAATTTAGGTGCAGTTTAGGGCCACNTCCCGAGTGTGCACCGAAATTAATTTTGGCGGGCCTAAACTGCACCTAAATCCTGAATAATATTTACCAGTGTTCGACGAAAATTAGTGGGTGGGTCAGCTAGCGAGACGTCACGCTGGCTGACCCAAAACACATTTTTGCGAATTTCTCGGAAACCGAGTGTGCACCGAAATTAATTTTGGTGGCCCTAAACTGCACCTAAATTGCACCTAATTCCTGAATAATATTTACCAGTGTTCGACGAAAATTAGTGGGTGGGTCAGCTAGCGAGACGTCACGCTGGCTGACCCAAAACACATTTTTGCGAATTTCTCGGAAACCGAGTGTGCACCGAAATTAATTTTGGTGGCCCTAAACTGCACCTAAATTGCACCTAACGTCACGCTGGCTGACCCATATATTTTTGCAATTTTCTCGGAAACCGAGTGAGCACTTAAATTAATTTTGGAGGCCCTAAATTGCACCTAAATTGCACCTAATTCCTGAGTAATTTTTATCATTTTTTGGAGAAGTGGGTCAGCTAGCGTGACGGACGTAAATATCTGAGTTACTCTTCTGAAGAACAAGTGCGATAAGTACACATCGCTAGCTTAGAGTGCAAAGCTGCTTACCCCATTTTTTTTTTTTGAATTCAACGAGAAAAAAAAGCTGTTTAAAGCAAAGCAAAACTCCATACCAATAACGATTCGTTCTTTATTAAAAGATTTCGTATTATTTTGGTTTTTGGCGGACTTTCGGTGTTTCTTTTGTACTTAACAATTTCGCCTTTCATTGAATATAAACGAGAAAATAAAACAAGTACCTTAATCCTTTTCAAAACTATGCATTTTTGTTGTTGTTGTTGCAGCATACAAATTCCCCAAAGAGTTTTTGGGGAGTGTTGCTGGAGTGACAGTCCTTGGCCAGATATAAATCTGGGTCGTTCCGGTTACGTAGATCCCTTGCTTCCTATATCCAAATATGAGTTATCATAAAAAGTGGACTTAGCAACTTTTCACTAAAAGCTAGCGAGAATTTTATTCTTCGATAGCCCTCCATTATAAGCAATCTACAAATATGTGTCCGGTATTTGTTGATAGTAAAAGTGATTTACTTTTGTTCCAGTTGCTGTAGAAAGGGAATGTTCTTCTGTGAGGTGCGACCTATGACTATCTGGGCTATGTGTAGAGTTTTGGTCTTGCTGGAGATTCTGTTCTACTGATAATTTATGCTGTTTTATAAATTGGGTGCAAAAACTTTGAACAGCACTGGGTACTTCTGGCTGTTGTTGTGCTAAAAGTATGTCTTGGGAAATGTGATGCTGGTGTCGTTCGGTGGAATTTGTTACATTAATATCAATATAGCAACTATTGTTGGCTGGGGATGGATTTTCGCTACGCGATCGTTTTATATCCAAATGCGTAGGATTTATTGTGCTGCCAGAAACAAAAGCAATTTCACTTGTAGGAGTCGTTTGCTTCACTAGGTGACTGTATATATTATCGATTGTAGGTATGTTTCTTGTGCTTGCGATAGTGTCTCCATTAATATGCTGACTAACTGACTGTTCTTCAGAATGAAGAGATTGCCCTGTGAGATTTATATTTTTACAGACCAGCTCATTTGAAGCCGCAGATTGTCTACGTGCCTTTTGTTTGCTGCTTACAGTACCAACACAATCAGGTGGAAGTTTTGGCTTTTTGCCGAAGGCGAAGTTTCCACTTTGCTTGGATACAACCGGCGCGAGATTTTCAGCAGCGCGAGTACTATACAATGTAAAATTTTGTATAATTACATAAAATATACATATGAATATACATATATAGGTATCAACTGAAATAATTATAAAAAATAAACTCACACGGACTTTAGTACAGCCAATTTTGGTATATTTTTTGTATATGTCTTTTCTCCTGAAGCTTCTAGTGCAGCTAATTCTTCGGGATGCGATTTTCTCTTATGTGTGCGACAATTCGAACCATTGGCGAAGGTTTTATCACAAAAGTCACAGGAATATGGTTTGAGACCCGTATGAAGGATTAGGTGATTTTTCAGTGCCTTGGCACGCTTGAAAGCTCGACCGCAATAATCACACCTATGTTGCATCACATCAGAATGCACCAGTAAATGACGATTTAAAGTTGCCCTTGAATTCAATTGCAAACCACATTCGGCGCAAATGTGCTTATTCGGATTATGGGTTTCCATATGATTCTGTAAAAAAAACGTAGCCATTTGAACTAGCCGGAAGTATCTTATTAAAATTTCTGACTCACCTTCAAGCGCTCTTGATTTTTAAATCCTTTTTTACATACTTCACATTCGAAAGGCGCATAATCAGTGTGTGTAAGCATATGCTGTTTAAGCTGTCCTTTTGAACGCACAGCCTCTCCACATTCTTCGCAAATAAAGGAACGCTCATTCATATGAACATACTTGACGTGCTGCGCGACATAAGTTTTACTGGGGAACTTCTGTTCACAGTAAGGGCAAGGTTCTATACGCCGTTTCGTCAATGGTAAATGCTTAACTGCGTGATGTTCCAACTGTCTTTGTGTGTTAAATGAAATGTGACATTCAGAACAAACAAATCGTGGTACTGCATCATCTTTTGAATGTTTGCGCTTCATATGCGAACGGAAGAATGAAATTCGTTTGAAAGTCTGAGAACAATCGCTGCAGGTATACCCGTTTTCATTCTCATTAACAATCGAATCTACTTTTCCATCCCGTTCTTTTATTAGTATACTTTCATTTTTACAGCTAACGGGTTTTAGATTAATACTTTTCGATTGATTGGTTTTATTTGATAAAATAGATTCTTCAATTTTCTTTATTTTATCTTCAATTCGGCATATATTGTTTGATATGCCTGTCGAATCTTCACACCCGTTACATTTTTCAACATTTTGTTCAAGTCCGCAGCATATTTTCTCGCCTTCGAATTCAATGTCGCTGCCAAAAGGGTCCTCCCCTGCAGTTTCTTCGTTCTCGAAATCGTATACATCCTCATCTGTCACTGGCAAAGTATTTGTTGAATCTTCCTTCTTTACTTCGATTCCGGTGAGAGCTTCAAGCGGCACAACTTCTATATCAGAATCATCAACGAAACTGTTTTCTTCACAACCGTTTGTTCTAGGTTTAGCATCACAAAAATGAGTTTCTGCTAAAGGGTGGTAAGTGAACTGGTGTGGTCTATCGTCAACCAATACGCCGTATTTTAGTCGCAGTACTTCGAAATCTGCTTCTTTAAAATCATTTAAATTTTTTAGCGAGGCATACATTTGCTGAACTTTTTCTACACGTTCGTTGAAGTTAACTAGAGTAGTCACTAAAGAAAAGCATTCCGTGCATAACCGTTTGGGGAGGTGCTCATCCTGTGTAATCTATAAAAATGAGTTGAGCAACGGAAACACACACGGTTACATTGCGATCATAAATTTGTTTAATGTAAGCATACTTGTACGCAAAAGTATTTCCCAATCGCAATGGCAAGTCTAAGTTCCACTTGTTCCTTATTCTCAGTGGAAGTAAGCATATGTTCGTCCTTAAAGAATATATTTATGTTTTCAGCATCGTCCTTTGCACATAGACGACACCAACGGTACCAAGAAGTACTGAGATTTCCCTCTTCCACTATTTCACTGGAAGCCTGCATATTGCCCTTTTAATGGTATACAGCTACCTATTACTGCTGCAATCTTTTTCCTTTTAAATTTATCTTTAATTTAAAATTTAAACGAGTTAGAAAACAACACAAACAAGAACATATGTTTATTCTTAGTGATGGGCGAGTCCGAGATGTTTTAGTGGATTGTCTCGATTGTTCAAATATCCCCAATTGTTCTCGATGTTTTCCCTAGTAGACCAATTGCCATTCGAAAATAAGGTTCGTTCGCGTAGCTGTTAATTGTTCATGTTTAACCAAAACTTACAAGTTTTTGCGTTCGCGTACGCAAAAAACTTGCAAAGTAGGGGAAATTGCGAGAGCAAAGTGACATTTCATTTTTGAGTAATCAATAAACTGTGTCAGTATAACACTTTGCGATGACTTTTCGTACGTTTTAAATTTTACACTTTTGTATGTAAACAAAAATTATATCAGCTGTTCGTCTAACTTGCAAGTTTCTGCAAATTTTCTGTTCGCGTACTATTTTGGATATTTCTCTCTTGTGAGCGAACAGATGACATTTCGCCGGAATTTGGCAGTTGGTTGGCTTCTGTTGCAGATTTTAAACGAACGCACCTATAGTCGTGCTTAAGCTGATGTAAAATATTCGCTAAAAATCGACCAAATCATCTCGGTCTCGCTGCTGGCCTGCGGTTGTTAAAACATCTCGGTGGTTCTCCGTCGCAGACTCTGGCAACGAATTGCCAATCGCGATTAACATTCGATAACAATCGGTCAAAACATCTTTTTTTTTGCAATAAATTTTTATAAGAAAAAGTGGAATCATTGCAAATAATCCATATGTGTGTACAATACAAATATGTAATACTTCTACATTGATAGTAACGTATCTTCACAATGTGTTTTTATTCCACAATCAAACGGAGGCATGTAGCGTCTGCCCGTTTTCCCTGATACGGCTCATTTTTAACAGCCCAATACTGAATACTCCCGGGGATTTTGTTCTCCGGGAATTTGTTCCTCCCGAGAAAGAAATCTAATAATTAACTTCCAGGGAATAGCATATTCCTTGAAAATTTGGAAGTTCGAACTTCGAAAAAGTGGTTTCACTTTTTTGACACCTAAACTCCGCTATTTAAAATAAAAACTCCTAAGCAAATTTTTATTCATGTTAGGAGCAAAGGGAAAAGAGAAAAACTCCTGGGAAGTTTCTGTTCAGAATCAGCCAATACATAAGTAAATAGTACAACGCATGCAATTCGATTTCATTTTCCTTACTTTTTTGCTTCTGCAAACAGCAAATAAATAAGATCAATAATAGTAAATATGGGGAGTACAGGCTTCTAGGGATTGTTTTTTAATTTTTTTTATAAAGACATAAAACGACGTGTTTTAATCAAGTTTCATTGTACCGACTGTTGTTGTGGTTTTTTATCAAGTGTGGTTTTCGGGTATGCAGTTCAATGCTTAAGTGCTTAATGTTACGAACAGTAATTAAACACAAAAACGTTATTTTCAGTAAATTTTCCCTAGCCCGTATACCCAACAATTTCTTAATCAGTATAAATTTGAACTTTAGAATAATATTTTTAATATTTAAATTTGTATGCGATATGTAAATATGTATGTATATTTAAAATAACGCTGGAATATCTGCACTTGCAGTATTATTAATTAAAAAAAAAATACTTAATACACACCTGCACAATGATACGAAAGCTACCAACAGAGTTCACACGATCTCGTCGGTGATAAGTCAGTCGACTAGAAAGAATCGAAAAACATCTCGCTTGAACAGTCGGGCAGCGAGTCGATTATTGACTTGATAGTAATTTTGCAACAATGGCGATTCTCTCGATCGTTTAAAAATATCTGACTCGCCCATCACTATTTATTCTTCCCACAACTAATCGTACGAGATGAAAAGTCAGACAGGTTAATTTAATACAGTTGCACTTAAACTGTTGTGACTCGATCAGGGATGCCAACCCTATTAAGGCTAATTCATTCAAATTCCCCTAAAAATTCTCCATTTATCAATGGTATTTCGCCAAAATAATTTTTGCTATTTAAGGGACTTCATTGTCATTTTTATTAAAAAAAAAAACAAATATTAATTGTAATGAGATAATAAGGACAATCTTGTTTTAATAACATATAAAACCAATACTTCTGAGTATATTTCGTAAAGTATATCTATTACCGGGGACAGACATTTGGTATTCGTAGCATTTCCAAGATAACATATGTCTGTCACCAACATATATGTAATAATAATAATAGATTGGCGCTTACACATATGTTAGTGTTTGGCCAAGCTTCTCCTATGTAATACTCCTATATTGGCAGTAAGAGCTGGTACCGTCCGAAAACACTACAGTACAGATATATCAATAAACACGTACGAAAGAAAAGGAACACATCCGTTTATAAATAAATATGTACACAACACATGGTGAAATGAACTGAAGGTGGCGCATTCCCGAAACCGCTACTTTGGTTTTGCCGACTTTGACATTTATGGCAATACGTAAACAAACTTTTTGTTTAGAAACAAGTGCAAACGTATTGCAAACGTATTGTGTACTTTCAAGTGAAAAATCGAAGTAATTCGTGCGTTCTGAAGTAAAAAACGTTTTATTTGTAATAAAAACTTTATAAAAATGTCGTGTCGTGTATTGAATTGCAGCAGCCGTAGGGGTAAAGCCCCCAAATACAGTTTTTTTTAGTTTCCCCGTGACGTCGCCTTGGCCAGAAAGTGGGTAGAGTTCTGCCGGCAGGAGAAGCCATACAATTTAGACACCAGCAAGAGTGGTTGTATATTTTTTGTTAACGTTGTACTTAATTTGCTATTTTCAAAGATGGCTTGAAAAATTGGTGAACCGTGAAGAAAACACGTTTTCTCACTGCAAATTCACAACTGTCAACTCATTGTTCTTCGCCATATTCTTAGTTTACCCGTTGCCACAAATGTCATTCTGCGGGAATGCGCAATCTTGTATTCTATCGTTCTTGATGAGCAACGTAGTATTTTTTGTCGAAAGAATACAAATTTCCGAAGGTTGTAATTTTGTGGCATTTTCATTGTGAATGGACATTTCGCACTGAACATACCCAAAAATGAGAGATGTCAGCTGCTCATTTATCAGAAAACCATTTAAATTTTCGCGCGATTTAAGCCAACAGTTTATACCGCAAGTTTTGATGCAATATATTTTTGCATTATTTTTGCTGTTCATATTTATGTGTTGTTTTTCAGAAACATATGATTTGACACTGAAATACTAAGTTAATGTCTGTCACTATGGTAGTATTTTAAATCCCACATTAAAATTACCAGAATGCAAATACCAGATGTCTGTCCCCGGTATATCATATATAATGTGACCAACCGTACTTCTTTGGGAAGTACAGTACTTCTTTTTTTCGCTCTTGTACTTCGTACTTCGAAGTACAGTCAAATGTACTTCTTTGCGATATTTTGTACTTCAGGAGGGAGATTCTGTAGCCAGTTAGCGACAATTTTTGGATTTCCATCACACTTTTTGACGCATGATATAATATTGAAAATAAGAAATAAGAGACTGATGCTTTGTTTTTGACGTTTTGGAATGAACCCATCCTTATACACATAAGTGGTATGTATGTACATACATATGTAAATATATATATATTGACTGTTGTTCACATACATATCGAAACATACAGTATCGGTCATATCTATAGCACACCCTTTGAAAGTGAGATTGTGTGCAACTTATGTTTATTTATTTATTTTTGAGAATTTTCAATTAAAATACAGTTCTTTCTCTAACAAACCCCATATAAACCCAAGTTTAACAATTTGTAGAAAACTTCAAAAAAGCGCAACAAATTTTCACCTAAATTTCAAACTTTTTTCTCGGAAGTGTTTGAATTTTTCTGAATACACAGTTTTATAGCCCAATCAATTATAGTCTGACAATGTGCAAGTTTCAAGTGACTGAAAGTTACCGGTGATTTTTTAGAATTTTTTTTGCCAAAGGTGTTGCGGTTTTCATCCATATACAAATAAATTGAGTTTATTCATTATATGAAAGCAAACGCGACAAAAAAAATTCTAAAAAATTAACGGTAATTCGTAACCACTTGAAATTTGCACATTAGCCACGATGCAATAATACAAGGTGTTATCAGTTGGCAACCTCTCGCTCTAATTCCGCCATATTGACTGCCTTACGTGAAACAGTGTTACTNAAACGCGACAAAAAAAATTCTAAAAAATTAACGGTAATTCGTAACCACTTGAAATTTGCACATTAGCCACGATGCAATAATACAAGGTGTTATCAGTTGGCAACCTCTCGCTCTAATTCCGCCATATTGACTGCCTTACGTGAAACAGTGTTACTTATTTAACTATTCTTTGCCCATTAATATAGTTGAATGTTTTTTATTTTTTCTCAGTATACACACTTTGTTTTGTTAAAAAGGTATTTTATCTTATTTTATTTCATTTCATAACGAATATACTATAAAAGCAAATTTTGTTTAGGAGAAAATGTGAAATTTTATATTTTTCCCCCATATGGGGATTCATTTCTTCCCGTTTTTCTTCTCATTCTACTGAGCTAAGGCAGTGTCAAATCGAGCTGTCACAACTGATACCACCTTGTATTATTGCATCATGCACATTATCAGACTAAAATTGCAGTGGCTAAAACACTGTGTACTCAAAAAAATTCTAACACTTCCGAGAAAAAAGTTTGAAACTTAGGTGAAAATTTGTTGCCATTTTTTTAAGTTTTCTACAAATTGTTAAACTTGGGTTTGTATGGTGTTTGTTAGAGAAAGAACTGTATTTTAATTGAAAATTCTTAAAAATAAATAAATAAGCATAAGTGGCACACTATATCACTTTGAAATGGCGTGCTTTAGATATGACCGATACTGTACATACATACTATAGAGTAGTCGAAAAAATTATAGCCGCACCACATATTGGCAAGCTTTAACATTCTATTTTTTATGTTATTTAATTTGGTTTTTTTTGTATAAATATATTTTTCATTCTTTAACAAAGCCCGTGTAAACTTTGTGCAATATTTAAAAAAATTCGAAAAACGTTCATAAAAGTTTCGAGCGTTTTAATTAGATTTTGAATATGCTCTTGTGAGTCCATTGAATTCTAATAAAATAAAGTGCAAGTTTCAAATTACTAAAAATTACCGTTAATTTTTTTGTATCCCACTTGCTTCTATAAAACGAATAAACACAATTTATTTTTATATGGAAGAAAAACGGTAACATCTTCGACAAAAATTTCTAAAAAATCAACCCTCAATGTTTGCCATTTGAAACTTGTATTAGAATTCAATGGTCTGCAAAACTGCAAACTGAAAATCTTTCTAAGAAATCTAATTAAAATGTCTGACATTTTTATGAAAGTTTGTTGAGTTTTTTTCAAATATTGCATTGGTTTGGTTAAAGAATGAACTATATGTTTATTAAAAAAAATTAAATAACAAAAAAGTAGAATGCCAAAACTTGCCAATTAGTGGTGCGGTTTTATTTTTTTGTCACACAGGGAGGAGGGAGTTACCTACAGTTTTACACCGACTCCGAACGGCGATCGTTCAAGGCAAAAATACACTCAAATTTAAATAACAAAATAATAAAATAAATATGTCAAAATTTGTCCATATGTGGTGCGGCTAACTTTTTTTCGACCGCTGTATGTTGATATGAATATACTATATTAACAAACATTAAGCAAATAAAAACTTTTATAAAAGCTGACAGTTTCCTGCGCCACATCCAATTTCATCGAATTTTATTGATACTATTTAACTTGGATATACGTACATATAAAACTGGATCAAAATTTAAACGTTACATCTTAATTTGAAGATACTTCGTCCTTTATTTTTTCTTCTTTATTCAAAGTAAAACACTGGTGCTTTGTTGGAGTTTATATCCACGCAAACGCCACGGTTTTTCCATCTCCAGTGAAATGGAACCTAAGTACATATGTTATATGTTATTGAAGTATAAACCGTTTTTTGTTACATAGATTGCTTGCGAGAAGCGCGGTCATCATTTTGATATAAGATGATCCGGAACCCGAATTCTGAAAAAACACAAGTTTATAGAAGAGCCTAATCTGGTATATGTACATATCGTTGCCTCAGAAAACGGATGTCGTATGTTACAAAACACTGTTTTGAGAAAAAATATTTTGAAGTTTAAGGTCGAATTAATCCGAAACTATACGGTAGATTTTTGTAATTTTTGAAGGAGACGCAGTTATTATTAGTTTTTATTTTCCATATTCTTAAATTATCTATTTTAATCTTAAATTATATCTATAAAGGATAATGAGAAAATTGTCTTTTCATTCCATATACATTTTTCGTAAGTAGCGTTTACTCACCACTATCTTTTGTCCATAGAACATACGACAATACTAAAGTATCTTTTGCAACGACGATGGTCGATTTTGATGAAAAAACCAGATACATTTATTAAATAATGATTACTTCCCACTGGGAAAATAGGTAAGCACCTTGCGAGGTAAGCCATGTTTTCTTTCAGTTTTTAGTACCAAAATTGTCATCATGGCCAATGTCATCTACTAGTAAAGGGCAAAATGAACACCTCCAAAGACACATTACGTTGTCAGTTGCAAAATAACGTGCAGCCGAAGTTATTTCCAAGCACCGAACTACTCCGAGCGACTGCTCTGCATTACTAGTAACTTACTTTGTAAAGCGGCTCAGAAGTATGTCTGATACCAAATGTACATTCTAAATTCCTACTTACATAAGGCGGCCATGCCTTTGTAAAAGTAAGGGACGTTCGGCAGGGAAATGGTAATGACTGCCAGGTGAAGAGTAAGTTGCTAATAAGGTATTATTACGTGCTCCTAATTCCCACTGGGTTATTAGAAAAAACATATACATATATTGTACATCTTTTTAACTGTAAGTATGTAACGAACATACGTTTTCTTTTTTTATAAAAACAAAAAACAATACTTAAATTCAGTCTTTTGAACACTTTCATTTCTTTCAATTCATTGGAGACTCAGTGCAAGCTAAAATTTAAAAAAAAAAATTGTTACTTTGTTTAATTTCCAATTTTAATAGTTTCGTTATAGCAGAGGACCATCGAATTGTCGTAAGTTCCAAGTTTTGCGATACATACGACAAATGTCTTATGATTAAAAAATATATAGATACATTTTTATGATAAAAAAAAAGTACGTTTATATGGAAATTTGTCGCATTGACGCATTTCCAGCACAACAATAAAAGGCATACCCAATCATTAATATTATGTATCATACGACAAAATGCACACGAAATATCTCAAAAACTAAAGGAGATATAAAAAAATTGATTGCAGAATTCAAAAGAGCATGTCCAACTTAGTGAATCTGTATCAAAATTCCAAAATCGTGGTTTGGCACATTCGACATCCGTTTTCTGAGGCGACGATATGTACATACGTTACCTTAACTCACAAAGGCCCTCAAAACTACTTTTTCGAAACTGCGCTTTTCACAGATTTTGGTAGGATGTATTAAAATATACCTTTAATAAAAATTTTAAAGTGTTGGTACCAAAAACAAAAGAGTTTCATGCCACTTTTTAAAACGTCCTACCTTTTTTTGCCTCTACTGTAAAATAAGAAATTTGTTGGTTAGGGCTCTTGTGAATTGAGTAGTCCACTTGCAAAGTGCGCCATGTAATATGTTTTCGATTTTTAGTTTTTGGTGGGTAACATACCAGCATTTAAAGTAGTTTCATGTCCACTAACAACACAGTGCAAAGTCTTTCTATATTCTGAAGAAATTGCATCAAATTTTAACTACTCTTGCAAAAGTCGCTATAATACTTATTTATAAACTTTCAAAAGTCTCCATCTTCTGATGAACTTAGAAAACTGCTTTAGGTCGTATAGATTGTCAATGTTATGTTATGTTATAATATTATTAGGCTCTTATGTATCAAAATTTTCAGGTAATAAAAAAAGATTCAATTTAGATGTTACTTGTTGTCGCAGTCGTTTTTTTTTTTTAATTTATGACTTACTGTTATAAAATCACATAACGCTGTTTGCAAATGGACTACTCAATTAAGGTAACGATATGTACATATGTACGAGTTTTTCTTTATTTTACACGGATTTTAATGCAGCCAATTTCGGAATATTTTTCGTGCACGTTCTTTTTCCCGAAGCCTCCAACTCTGCTAATTCACTTGGATGTGCCCTTTTCATGTGCGTACGGCAATTGGAGCCGTTAGTAAAAGTCCTTTCACAGAACTGGCATGAATATGGCTTTAAACCACTATGGAGTATTAAATGATTTTTCAGCGTTTTAGCTCGCTTAAAAGCTCGACCGCAATAATCACATTTATGACGCATCGTATCGGAATGTACTAGCATGTGTTGATTTAATGTTACTCGCGAGTTCAATTTTAATCCACATTCGCTGCAAATGTGTTTATTAGAATTGTGTATATCCATATGATTCTGAAAGGGAAATATTGAAGTAAATTTCTCTTTATTGTGCCTGTAGCAGAAATTCAATTTAGTCTTGATCTTTCATTACCTTTAGGCGGGCCGGGTTTTTAAAACCTTTCTTACATATTTCGCATTCAAAAGGTGCAAGATCGGTATGTGTAAGCATATGTTCCCGTAATGTAGCTTCTGTGCGTGTAGCTTCGCCGCATTCTTCACAAATAAACGGACGAATATCCTCATGAACAAACTTTATATGCTTTGCAACATACGCTTTTGTTTGGAATTTTCGATCACACTGTGGACAAGGAAATATTCGCGTTTCCGAGAGTGGTCTATGTTTGACTATGTGACGATTCAGATCGTACTTATTTTTGAAGGTCTTGGGACACTGGGGACATGTTATGGGTTCCAGTATCACTCCATGTCTTTTCTTCATATGTATACGACAATTCCCAAGTCGTTGAAAACACAATGAGCAGTTGCTACAACAGTATTTGTGTTCATGTGACTCCTTCGTTTCGTAAATGCAAACATTTTTATATGATCGTTTGCGTTTACTTATAATAGTGCTCTCCGTGGAATCAGCGTCAATATCGCTGACAAAAGGATCTTCATCTTTAGCTCCCTCATCTTCAAACACGCATGTTACTTCATCGACTTGGTTGCTTTCGTGTGGTCTGTCTTCTCTTAAATGAATTTCAGGCATATTTGACACACTCGCGTGCTCAATCTGCTGAACAAAAGCTTTTTCCTCATTTTGGAGTATAGACTGTGTTGGAGTTTCTTTTAAAGTACCATGTTTCAGCCGAACAGAAAGAAAATCTAAATATTTTTTGCAGTCAGTTTCATGTAGAGCAGCATACATTTCCTGCACTTTATCAACACGTTTATTGAAATCAAGAATAGTTTTCACCTTTTCCTTCTATATTTAACAATGTAGATTCCGAAATGACACAACTTGATTCTTTCCCCTTTAATTCACAAATGTTTCGTGTATAATCCTTCTTTAACATCGTTGGGCAATGGTTTATCTTTGTCAGAAGTACTAGCAAACACTGATTAGATTATCGCGAGTGCATTTGTGATAACTACTTCATAATATGTCCATTCAATAACTTTTTCCGTTAAGTGCTTGCAGCTAAATGAAAAAAAAAAATAGAGGAAAATTATCAAAAAAGTTATTGAACGCAAAATAATAGGTAAAAACTTGCAACTTACGCCATTTTGACACTTTCTGACGGCTAAGTTTTGGCGCGCAATTTTCTTTTTGATTGGGAATATTTTTCATAAAAATAAAATCATATACATTAGATTTGAATTGAGGCCATGAGAGCAAAAGTGGCCTAACCCAAATTTTTTTTTTCTGTACTTACCTACTTAAAAGAGTCTCAAATGAGATACATTTTAAAGCAAAGGTAATTTATTCCTTAATATGATGGTACGCTATGTAGCTTTGTACCTTAAAATTAATGAATAAGCGACTTATGTTTTAAAATTTATCGCATTTGAGACTATTTTAAATAGGTAAGTACGGAAGAAAAACTACCACTTCTCTAACTATGTTTAATCAAATAATCCTCTTTAACACTTTGCTTACATATGAATTTGAATTTTGACTCCTCAAATTCTTGCTAGTAAAAGGTCCATTCAATATCAAAAAAAATTTTACGAATTCTTGCTAGTACTTGCAAATTTTTACTGGAAATGCATTCAATAACCCAAAAAAATTGCAAAGAGAGCGAATCCGGGCGTGACAACCCGAGAGCGCTGCAAATTCTTGCAAGTAAAAATATTACTAGCAGTAATTTGCAGTCGTTAAAAATAAGGTTATGTTTCAAATTCAAATGTATACAAACTGTATAAGTACGGTGACCATATTTATGAGAGCCGAATACGGGACAAAAATAATTTTGCAAATTCTTTCCACCACAGCTTACAGATCTGAAAGCCTCCTTCAATGAACCTAGATGTATTAGCCCTGAAACAGTATCCTTTTAGTAAAATCAAAAATTTGTAGAATAATTTCCTCGAGACTTTTACCCCGAAAAATTTGTTTAAAAAATTCGTTAAATTTTAGTATAATAAAGCGCAATATTAAGTCGATAAGGCTTGCCATTAGTTTTTGGCAATTTTTGTTTTTGTTGACGGTGTTGCGTATTTTTTCGTACAGAGTAAGTGAGATATTGCAAAATTAATTTTTATAGTTTTTTGGCACAAAGTTGGTAATTTGATATTATATGATTTTTGTTAGGAAAAGAGCTTTACTTTCATAAATAATAAATTTTAAATAAACTAAGGAAAATATCCAAAACTTACTAAAATGTCGAGTGCTAATTTTTATTTTAGTCAGTGTATGTTATCCTCGATTCGAATCACAGGCATTCAGATTAGAAAATAATAACTGTTTATGGAGAAAATTACGATCACATACCAACATCACTTAAAACTCGTTCATGGACATGCCATTTTAATGAGCTCTTAAGTGGGCGAAATACCAAATACGGGACATTAAAAGAAATACAGAACATTTAGCGTCCCGTATAAAATAAATAAATTAACAGGACAATGGGTAAAAAAAGAGGATTGTCCCGTATAATACAGGACGGATGGTCACCGTATGTATAAGGGAATGATTTGATGAAGCATAGTTAGTGAAATTAAAATATGGATATATAATTTTAATCTCTTATGTTTTTTTTTTTTAATTTTTATGACGATGGGAACTATTAAACTTAACCGTCAGAAAGTGTCAAAATGGCGTAAGTTCCAAGTTTTTACTTGTTTTCCGTTCAATAACTTTATCTGATAATTTGTTCTTGCTCTCAATTTTTCTTTTACGCTCTCGCTGCAAATATTTACTGGAAAAGTTATTGAATACGCCCTCGAATCCGCTCTCTGTTGCAATTTTTTTTAGGTTATTGAATGCACTTCCAGTAAAAACTTGCTTGTACTAGTAAGAACTCGTAAGAAGTTTTTTATATTGAATGGACCTAATCTATTGGTCTGTTCGATGAACGCACTAGAGTTCTCTAGTTCAGGAAAAAGCGTTCGACAAACCTTTTTATTGCACTAAACTGTTTTGAACTGTGTTTTTTTTGAGTAAGCACCAACTAACACTTTTCTGCACTAAATTACACTAGCTTCACATCTGGATGTCACACAAAAACAGCGGTTCCTTCAGTGACAAGCCCCTAGGAAAAGAACGGAAAAAAATTTAATTTGCACTTGCAGAACATTCAAAGTTAAATATATAAATACACAGTTCAGTAGCTCAGAGTTAAATTTTTATATTCCTAAACCTCTATTACTTCCTTTTGAACAAAAAAAATGTTATTTAGCCCATAGTGCGACACCGTTGTGAATACCTCAATTGTATTTTTATGCCCTGAACTATGCCCATGTAGAATGGGCCTGAGCACACTAGCCTGCTCAGTCGGACTGAGCAGTCCACCACTCGAACGCACACTGGACAGTCGGCCGAAAACAGGTTTCAGTTTTGTATACATGAACTACGCATGATTGTGTTAGTGCATGTGGCACATGCAAACAAATCGAAATAGAAAACATGTTGTCTATGTGTGCGTGTCAGTCCACCGTCAATCCACGATTTTCGCGGATTGAAATGAGCGAGGTAAACTCGAACTCTCTTCCCCCTCTTATCCACACAATACCGGTTTTAGGCGGACTGAGCAGTCCTGTGTGCGGAGGCCCAATAGTGCTCTCGAAAGCACTCAAAGTCTTCTCATTTTTGTTCGACATCATCCACGTTTCTGCGCCATATGTTTCAGTAGAACGGGCATGATGAGAGATTGTAGAGCGTGAATTTTGTTTCATTAATAAGAGAGCTCTGCTTTTCAATTGACTACCGTTCCCAAAGTAGCAAGTGTTCGAAACAATTATTCTTAGCTTGATTTCCAGGCTGGAATGGTTGCAGGTAATTATGCTGGATCCTGGGTAGATAAAGTCTACCACTACTTCAAAGTTATAACTGCCAACAGTGACGTGTGTTGAGGTTTGAGCTTCTTTTTCTAAGCAATAAAATAGCGTTCTTACGTCCTCATATTTCAGGCCAACGATATTGATATCATCTACATACGCCAGCAGCGATATTCTTTTGCTATATATAGTACAGCTGCGATTCAGATTGACAGCTGTTATTACGCTATCCAGCATCAGATTGAAGAAGTCGCACAAGAGTGAATCGCCTTGTCCAAACCCTCGTTTGGTCTCAAAGAGCGCGGAGAGGTCCTTTTAAATTTGAACGGAGCTGAAGGTTCTGCTCAAGGTCACTCTACGTAGCCGTATTTGTTTTGCGGCGATCCCAAATTTTAACATGATTTCGTACAGGCAGCTTCTCTCCGCCGCTTTAAAATCGACGAAAAGATCGTGTGTGTCGATTTACATATCTAATGGAATGACTTGCGCATTTATTAGAAATTATAATGGGTAATTTCCAAACAAAGTGTACATGGCAAGTATTTTTTATATATTTTTTTTAAGATTGCAAAATTTATTCTCTGAAATCGTTTACCGAAGTGAAAATTTGTGCAGAATACGAAACTGCTTTCAGGCTCTCCAAAAATTAGTTTCTTTTATTTTTACATTTTTGTAAAATATTTTCCAGATTGTCACTTTTTTTAAAAGTAAGTTAAAGGATTGAATAAGTCTAGAAACTGATAGAAAAAAGTATACTAACCGATAAGCATTGTACTGATTTTTATCACATAAGCTAATGTTGTCGTTTTTTCCACCTTTTTCCTGACATGTTTCATGGTTTTTCTTGGGAAGCAGGCTTTTTGTTTAATCTTTCTTCGGCAAAAATTTCCCATATATGCCATTTGAACATTTTTGGAGAAATAAGCTATTTAGATAAAAAATCCTTTTTCACCTAAAAGTGACATTCTGGAAATATTTCAAATTTTTAAATTTTTTATTTTCCTAAGTCTTATTTCACGAAAATATAAAATATATCATTCGATCAACAACTTCTTGCGCTTCTTAGCTGCAATGCACTTAGGCAAGCAAAACAACAAACGATGGGTAGCGCTCTTTCTGGCACCCTTGGCGTGCGCTGTTGACGGCGAACGAGCGGATGTCGTTCGTACGCGGCTTCGCGGTAGACAGTGGCGAGCGGTGATCGGAACCGTTTTTAATGATCACTACTCTGAGTGGTGATGTCTTGTGGTGTGTGTGTACCACTCACAAGCAATCGCTCCATTCAGCGGTAGTTCTCACTACGAAATATGGTTTTCTACCTTTGAAAGGTGATGTCTTGTGGTGTGTGCGTACCACTCATAAGCTATCGCTCCCTTCAATTGTAGTCGTTTACTCGCGACCACAGCTCCGTGTTGACTGACTGTTTTCTGGCTGTGCTCTATATTTTATGGGCTGCGTGCTTGATGTTGCGTGGTCGTGCAGCCACATGTTGCTGTGTGATGTTTCGTTGTCATGGTCACAAAGATGCTGTCGGGTGTTGCTACGAGTTGTGTTGCTATGAGTTGTGTTGCTTGACTGGCTGTTGTGCGGTGTCGTATTGNAGTTGTGTTGCTTGACTGGCTGTTGTGCGGTATCGTATTGCAGGTGGTGACGGCGGTCGGATCGGCGTGGCGGTAGTGGCTCTGTCTTGGTGCAGTGGTGAGTGCGGTTGTGACGGCGGCGGTTCCGCGCTTTGGCGTCCATGCGCGTACTGTTGAAACGTGGACAATATCTGCGCCCGCTTCAGGGCTGCCATATCGGTCGTGAAAGGCTCTGCGATGCATCTTGGTGCGCCTCTGCCCTGTCCGACAAAGCGCATAACCCTCTCGATGGTCTCCAGTACATATACCCCGCAGTCTCCGTCGTTTTCCTGTTGTGGGACCCTCTGGTAGACTCCTTGAACCTCGAAGCCTACCCCGCCATGCCTCTGGGTATACTCCCACTGCAGGAACTTCTCCCATATATTTGTTGCGTGGGCGACTCCTCCCCTCGTCCTAGAGTCCACGGTCCACATATAGCGTTCCCTCCAGCATTCCATGTCAAGGAGGTGGTGGGTGGTCTCCTGGTTCGCCAGTACTAGCAGGTACCAGTGTCCAGCCGTGTTGTGGGGCGCCAGCACCGCCCGCTTGCCAAACAGGTCCGTTTTTCGCAGCCAGCGATGGATGCGCCGATAATGTTCCTCCTGGTTGCCTTTCTGCGTTAGTTGCCACACAACGAAAGGGCTGAGTATGGTGGCCCCTGGTCCCAACTCTGCTGGCTTCTAACCCTCTCGCCCATGGATGGTGGCGACGCGTGTCGTCCCGACTGCGACGTGGGCGTTGACTGCCCTTATGGCTGCGGCGCGGCGCGCGGTGGTGCTGTCCGTAAGCTGCGTGTGTCGCGCGGCGGCGTCGGCTGCGTCGGCGCGTGCCGTCGCGGCGTTTCGTATGCCGGTAGTGGGCTGTGACCCCAGTACCTGGGTGCGAGGACGTTTCGCTTCCTCCTCCTCTATGCGTTCGCGTATGCGTTTGACGCTGTTCGCCCACTTGTTGTTGACTTCCATTTTGATGTTCTGTTAATTTTTATTTTTTTTTCTCTGGTAGCTTCCGAAATTCTGATGTTCGCTCTCCGGTGGTTCGCGGTTGAGTGGCTGGTTGGAGTGGCTTACGAAGTTAAAGTTGGTTAATTAATTCAATTATTTGTGTGGTCGTTCCCTTTTTTTTTGTGTCTCCTTGTGTCTATATGGCCTCGCTGGTATGATACGTCTTTAATTCCGAAATATTGGCCGTCTTTTCTCTTCCTCCATCGGTCTTGCGTAACTGGACGATCACCGGTGATATGTACCTCAGGATTTTGTGGGGGCCGTCATATTTGGGGGCCAATTTCGCTGCGAATCCGTCCGCGGCCTTGGATAGATGGTGTTCCTTGGCGAGAACTAGTTCGCCAACCCTAGGAGTCCATTTTCGCCGTCTGAGGTTGTAGTGGCGGGCCTGATCTGTCGCCGCTCTCTCCATATTTTGCCGGACAATCCTGAATGCCTCCTGTATCCTACTGGACTTCTCCTCGGCAGTAGGGGGAACAGTGCCTGTCCCGATGTTGACCTCGTCAAAGAGTGCTCCAGGTAGTCGTGGCTCGCGGCCTTGGATGAGAAAAGCTGGGCTGTACCCAGTAGAGGCGGTGACACTGGTATTTATGGCTAGCTCAATTTCAGGGAGGAGGTCGTCCCATCGCTGGTGTTGCGATCTGGTGAGTTGAGCTATTATTCGCTTGACCGCCCGGTTAGCGCGCTCCGTTGGGTTCTCCTGGGGGGTGTATGGCGCGGTAAACTGCTGTCGTATTCCCATCTCTTGGAGGTAGCGTTGCCACAGCGTGCTGGTGAACTGGACTCCGTTGTCCGAGATGAGTATCTTCGGAACGCCAAATCTCGCTACAATTCGTTCTCTGAATGCACGGCGCAGTCCTTCTGCCGTGGCGCGTCTCATTGGGACTAGCTCCACCCATTTGCTGAAGCGGTCGAAGAATACCAATAGCATGGTGTTGCCATAGATCGCGGTAGGGGTCCGACGAAGTCTGTGCAGACCGTCGCGAAGGGCTCCGCAGCCACCTGTGAAAGCATTTTTCCCGCGGGTTTCTGTTGTCCTTCCTTGTATTTTTGGCAGGAATCACACTGGCGCACGTAGCGGCTGATGTCACGGAACATACCTGGCCAATAGTATCGGTTGGCGATCCGTGCCACTGTCCGTCGGATGCCCATGTGGCCGGCGCTGGGTACATCGTGGTTCTCCTGTAGTACTCGCTGGCGAAGGGGGGTTGGTACACATAACTTCCAGGGCACTGTTTCCTCATCCTGGCTTCGGCATGGGATATGGCGGTAGAGTTGTCCGTCCTGCACCATATAGTCAGCGTATTTCTCCGGGTTTGCGCGCACTTCGCCCACGCGCTTATGCCACCACTTGCATTGTGGTTCCGTCGTTATCGCTTGCCGAAGGGTCTCCAGTGGTTGCCGTGATAGTGCGTCCGCGACTAGGTTGAGCTTCCCTTTTCGATATTCTATATCGAATTTATGCTGTTGTAGTTCTAGGGCCCACCTCGCTATACGGCCGGAAGGGCTCTCGATAGAGTTCAGCCACTTCAACGACATGTGGTCGGTGATCACCTTGAACCTGTATCCCTCTAGGTAGGGCCTCATCTTCCGGATTCCCCAAACAATGGCAAGACACTCCTTCTCTGTGGGCGAGTAGTTGACCTCCGCTTTGCTCAATTTCCTGCTGGCATAAGATATTACGCGTTCGCCTCCTTCTAACGAAGCGACGGTAACACGATGCTATCCCGAGGTATTGGCGTACTTCCTTCACGTTAGACGGTGGTTTTAATTCTCGGATCGCGGCCACCTTCTCGGGATCGGTGTGGATTCCCTTTTCACTTACCACATGACCCAAGTATCGGAGTTCCTTCTTGAAGAAGTCGCACTTCTCGGGGTTGATGCGGAGATTCGCGCGTTGTA